AGTGATTCCCCTGCCTTAGCCTCCGTAGTAGCTGGGACTACAGGTGTGCACTACCATGCCCAGCTAAAGATGGGGTTTCACCATGTTGTCCAGGATGGTCTCAATCTCCTGACCTTGTGATCCGCCTGCCTTGGCCTCCCAAAGTGCTCGAATTAGAGGTGATTAGAGGTGTGAGCCACCACACCTGGCCGAGTATAAGTATTTTTAGTATAATAAATAATGCCAAATTGCTGTCTGTAGAGGTTGTGCGATGCCTGTAACCCTGGCCAGGAGAATACAGCTGTCCCCTTATCCACAGAAAATACCTTCCCAGATCCCCAGTGGATGCCTGAGCCTGCAGATAGTACCAAACTACACACACACACCCACACCCACCCACACACACACACAGTGTTTTTTCCTATACATACATAACCTGTGATAAAGTTTAATGTATAAATTAGGCACAGTAAGAGATTAACAACAGTAACTAATTATAACATAGAACAACTGTAATCATATGCTGATATCACTACTCTTGAGCTTTGGGGCCATTTATTAAGTAAAATAATGGTTACTTGCACACAAGCCCTGAGATGCCAGGACAGTTGATCTGATAACTGAGATGGCTACTTAATGGGTAGTGGGCAGCCCAGTGTATACCTTGTGGCTATCTGAACAAAAGGCTGTTTCACATCCCAGGGGTGGGGGGCATGAGAATTAATCATGCTGCTCAGAACAGCACCAAGTTTATCATTTGCTTTTGCTTTTTACTTTGGTTAATCTTTAAAACTCTCCCAAGGCAGCGATCATGGATTACTGTGTCATGTAATTCCTAAGTCTTGTATCTCCCCAGGAACACATAGTGCCATCGAGTGCCATGGCATCCTGTAGAGAACTTCCATCTTTGGTCACAGTGTTAAGAGCTCTTGGTTTCATAGCCTCTTTGAAATGACCTATAAAATGTATCAGTTGTTTATTTCTGGAATTTTTCATTTAATATTTTCAGACCAAGATTGGCCACAGTTAACTGAAACCAGGGAAAGCAACACCGTGAATAAGAAGGGGCTACTGTCTAATTCAACTTTTTGCTCTTTGAAGCTAGGGCTTTAGGCTTTATCCTGTCAGTGATGGTAAGCCATTGAGAGGTTTTTAAGCAGGGGAGTGTTACGGTCAGGTTTGTGTTTTGGAAAGGTCTCTTGGGCTGCAGTGAGGAAAAGAGTTTAGCAGAGGCCAAGATCAGAGTCATGGATACCAATTAGGTTTCATGGTAGTCCAGGCAAGTCCAAGTTCTGTCTTTGGCAGCTCCGCTTAGGCAGTTGGCAGTGGTGATGAAGGAGACAGATATTAAGATAATGAAGAAGTAGGTTCCATAGCACTGAGGGATTGATCTGGCCGAGAGTGGGTTAGGGGTGAGCATAGCTTTAATCAAGAAGTTCGATTTCCATGAGTCTTGTGAACAGCAATGGGCTTATATGCATAGTCTGCACCTTCTTTATAGATCTGTAGATCTTATGTCTTTATTAATATTTTCTAATTCTAAAATATCAAAAGATGAAAAAGAAGGCTCTAATATATTACTAATTACTTTTGTTGGCACCAAGACATTTTTGTCTGTTAATATCTGGCTGTCAGAGAACTTTAAAGAGCATTTTTTAAGATTCTTTAGTTAGGCCGGGTGCAGTGGCTCACACCTATAATTCTAGCACTTTGGGAGGCCAATGCGGGTAGATCACTTGAGGCCAGGGGTTCAAGACCAGCCTGGCCAACATAGTGAAACCCATCTCTACTAAAAAATACAAAAATAAGCTGGGTGTGGTGGCACATGCCTGTAATCCCAGTTACTCAGGAGGCTAAGGCAGGAGAATCACTTGAACCCGAGAGGTAGGTGTTCCAATCAGCCAAGAGCGTGCCACTGCACTCCAGCCTGGGCAACACAGTGGGACTCCATCTGAAAAGGAAAAAAAAAGGTTCTTCAGTCAGCTGATAGTCCCAGCTATTTGGGAGGCGGAGGCAGGAGGATCACTTGAGCCCAGTAAGTTGAGGCTGTGATCCTGCCAGTGAATAGCCACTGCACGCCAGTCTGGGCAAGATGGGAAGAATCTGTCTCAAAAAAAAAAATTCTTCAGTCAGACTCATTCCTGACATTCACCAAACTCTTTAATTTTTCCCACATCCGTACCATTCATTTGAAATTCTGAATTTAGGCTGGGGTGCAGTAGCTCACACCTATAATCTTAGCACTTTGGGAGACTGAGGTGGGAACATTGCTTGAGGCCAGGGGTTTGAGACTACCCTAGCCAATATGGCAAGACCCCATCTCTAATTTTAAAATGTAAAATCGATTTAAAATTTAAAAATTTAAAAAACAGGCCGGGCGCGGTGGCTCAAGCCTGTAATCCCAGCACTTTGGGAGGCCGAGGCGGGTGGATCACGAGGTCAAGAGATCGAGACCATCCTGGTCAATATGGTGAAACCCTGTCTCTACTAAAAAAGTACAAAAAATTAGCTGGGCATGGTGGCACGTGCCTGTAATCCCAGCTACTCAGGAGGCTGAGGCAGGAGAATTGCCTGAATCCAGGAGGCGGAGGTTGTGGTGAGCCAAGATCGCGCCATTGCACTCCAGCCTGGGTAACAAGAGCAAAACTCCGTCTCAAAAAAAAAAAAAAAAAAAAAAATTTAAAAAACAGAAAATTCCTAATTTAGTAAAGTAACTTTAAATTCTACACTTAATTTACATATATTTTAATTACGTTTATTTAAAAGTATTTCATTTAGGCTGGCCGTGGGCATAAACTTTGGGAGCCCAAGGCGGGCAGATCATGAGATCAGAAGTTCAAGACCAGCCTGGTCAATATGGTGAAACCCTGTCTCTACAAAAAATATAAAAATTAGCCAGGCATGGTGGCGCATGCCTGTAGTCCCAGCTACTCAGCCTGAGGCAGAAGAATCGCTTGAACCTGGGAGGCGATGATTGCAGTCAGCCAAAGATCATGCCACTGCACTCCAGCCTGGGTGACAGAGTAAAACTCCATCTCAAAAAAAAAAAAAAGTCTTTTGGGAACCGATTGCTTTGATTTTGTGTGTAGTTCTGGTATCTAAAAATATGTATATGTTATTATTCCAGTTTTATATAATACCATTAATTATTTCATCTGTTCACTGTTTCTATTAATTTTTTATGATGAAAAATGATAAAGTGTTTCACTTCTTCCGCGCCTTTTCTTTGTTCGTCTTCTATCTCATATTAGCCTAAAGTTTGATTTCTAAGTAATTATCTTTGTACAGGTGAATATCCTGTATTTCTGTTAGTTGGTTCTTCACCTTTGAGTAATGTCTTTGGTGCCAGGTGACACAGTCAAGGAAGGGACTTCACTTGGTATTTTCTTCCCCTTTCCACTTTTGTGCTGGTTGTGTTGTTTCTGTATCATCAGGGCATAGAATGTTGACATTCTGATTTGCCATTCTGAACCCCACTTGATTTTAGTCTTGCTTCTACAGTTACACGTCAATATGCGTGTATGTATGTTAATATAAGTGAAGTACATTCAGTGCTTACCATCAGCTCTTTTGCTGTTATTTCGTCAATCATCTTTTGGTTAACTACATTTGTTCCTTGGTGGCTTCCTCAAGCAGAGCTCATGGGAACAATATTCACTTAGTCCTTGTATGCTAAGACACAACGTTCTTAGCCTAGCAATTTTCTGGAGGTTTCTTCAGGAGTGTAGCTGCCGGTGTTTTCTGAGGTCTGCCTCTGCCATTCCATCTCCTCTCCCTGTCTGCTCTGCTCAGCTCCCCGTGTCTTTGGCCGATTTCCACCCAGGCCTCCATGACCCTGCAGCTCTTGCTGTCCGTGGACTTAAGGGGTTTATCGCCTCAGGATGAGTCCTTTGTCTACAGTAGCCGTGCCCTTGCCGGTGTCTTGAGACGTGCTGAACAGCGTCACTCCTCGCCCGCTGAGCTGTGGCCCAGTTCGTTCCCCGGTATCACTTTGCTCCTCCTCAGCTTCCCCGTGTCTGTGTCTGCCGGCTTTGGGCAACTGTTACCCTTTTGCTTGCTTTTTGAGACTGTAGGTTTTATTTGCCTCCAGTTTCACTAACAAAGGAGCTTGCTTTGTTTATTTCGTGTTTACTTGGTTAGTTTTGATGATATCTTGGAGGAGAAGAGGCAAATCACTGTTGTATGCCACCATGTTTGACAGGAAGTCCTTTAAATGTGGGTGGCAGTACGGTATAACAACAAAGAGCATGGGATTTGGAGCAGGGTACGCCTGCCTGCGAATCTGAACTCTGCCACTGACTGACTACCTGACGGTAGACAGATCACATACCTTCTTGTCATTGTTATCTCTAGAATGGGGCTGATTCCCCTAAGTATTCACACTGTATGAGGAGTAAGTGGGGTGATACATATCATATACAGGGACCTAGCATAGTGCTTTGCAAGTAGAGGTTCAGAAGAGTAACATAATGTTTCATTAATTCCCTGGCATAGATGCCATTCAGAATTACTTTAACCCTCTCTGTTTGGATGGCATCATGTTATTACCACTCACTCAGTGTTGCCATTGAGGCCATTATCGGAACACCCTTTGGCACCCCCTCACTTCACCCATAATTCTATACAAGGCAATGAGTGCCACAGGAGAAGGACAGATGGACTGCTCTGGGAACCCTGGGGAGAAAACAGTCTCCTTCAAATGGTCAGGGTTAGGGGCGGGATAACTCATGAGCGAGGGCTTTCAGGAAAGGCAGGATTTCGTCAGAAAGAGGTAGGAAGACCCAAGCTGGGTCTGGATGCCAGTCCAGATTCTGAGGTCAGAGATTAGGATGGGGTGGGCATGGGGCTTTGGGAATTTGTCACATGCCTTTGCCTTCCAACTTCCAGCAGGCCTGAGAAATCAGGCAGCAAGATTCCCATGAGAAGTTCTGGGTAAGGTCAGAGGAGGCTGGGATGCCAGATTGGAAAGAGATCTTGATGCACATGTAGTCAAATCCTTGCTTTTGTCCCCGTGTTCTCAGATCCTGGAGTCCCAGACAACCACGGCTCCTACTGTGTCGGCCAGCAGCAGCTCTGATGGAGCTTCCATCGGTTGTAGCACCTCTGGAAGTCAGGGTATCATTGAGCCCATGGATATGGAAACCCAGGAGGATGGGAGAACATCTGCTAACCAGAGAACTGGAAGCAAGAAGAATGTGCAGGCAGATGGGAAGATGCAGGTGGATGGAAGGACCGGGGGAGATGGAACACAGACAGCCCACCGGACACGGGAAGACAGGAAGACGCAAGTGGACCCTGGGATACAAGAAAGCGAGAGGCCACAGTCAGACAGAACTTCACAGAAGGGCGAGGTGACACAGGGAAGAGCAGAGACACAGCTGGAAGCAACACTGGCAGGTAGGAAGATACAGCAAGACAGGAAGTCCCAGGCAGATGAGGGCACGCAGGAAGACAGAAGGATACGGGAAGAGAAGGGGACGCAGTCACAGGGGAGCGCGCCCGCGGCCACAGCAGGTCCGTCAGAGCAGGAGGCGGTGACCAGCCTTGGCCCACCGTCCAGCGCCCACAAACTCCCACCTACAGAGGGACCCAGAGCTCCTCCGATTGTTGAATGTTTTGCGCAGACCCCAGAAGGGCCTTGTGTCCCAGAAACCCCTGGTTTCCTGCCCGGATCTGAGGAGGCAGCAGTAACAGCCTCTAGGAACCACCAGCAAAGCGTGCTGGGTCCCCTGTCAGGGAAGCTCAGGCTCCCAGCACAGCTGCCCCTCGAGGGGAGTGTGGAGCAGGTGGGAGGAGAGAGAGGCCGGGGGCCACAGTCGTCAGGCCCAGTCGAGGCCAAGCAGAAGGGCAGCCTGTTCCAGAGCTCCCAGGAGGAGCAACCGGGGGGACTGCTGTGTGTGGCTCGCGGTGGCTGTCCTCCAGCTGGCCTGAGCCAGGAGGTGCCCACAATACCTTCTCTTCCTGGAACTGGGCTGACTGCTAGTCCAAAGGAGGGGACGAGCAGCACCCCAACTTCTCCGCACGGGAGCACAGCTGCCTTCCTGCCCTCTGAGGACCAGACCCTGGTGAGTTCTGCCCCAACACTGCACCTGGGGCTGGAGACCCCCAGTCAGAGTCACCCACCAGAGACCATGGCCACCAGCAATGAGGGGGCCTGCGCCCAGGTACCAGATGTGGAGGGGCGGACCCCACGTCCCCGGAGCTGTGACCCTGGTCTCATCGATTCCTTGAAGAACTACCTGCTTCTGCTGCTGAAGCTGTCCAGCACAGAGACGAGCGGAGCAGGGGCAGAGTCCCAGGTGGGGGCGGCCGCCGGAGGTCTGGCGCCCTCAGCCACTCTGACCCCCACTGTGGAAGTGGCTGGGCTGAGTCCCCGGACTTCGAGGCGCATCCTGGAGCGTGTGGAGAACAACCACCTGGTACAGAGTGCACAGACCCTGCTGCTGAGCCCCTGCACCTCCCGTCGCCTCACTGGCCTCCTGGACCGTGAGGTGCAGGCTGGCCGCGAGGCCCTTGCTGCTGCCCGGGGCTCCTGGGGTCCTGGTCCCAGCCCCCTCACTGTCCCTGCCATTGTGGTAGATGAGGAGAGCCCTGGGCTAGCCTCAGAAGGATCCAATGAGGGTAAAGGAGAGGTTTCCCTTGAGGGGCCTGGCCTCCTGGGGGTCTCTCAGGAGAGTGGCATGGGTGGTCGGCTGGGGGAGGCGGGTGGGCAGGCAGCCCCTGGGCAGGGACCCTCAACAGTCAGCAGAGCCCAGGAACCCTCCCAAGGGGAGAAGGTCCCAGGGGAGGCTCTGACAGGTCTCCCGGCAGCTACACCTGAGGAACTGGCTCTAGGGGCCCGGAGGAAGAGATTTCTCCCTAAGATCAGAGCAGCAGGAGACGGGGAGGCAACCACGCCTGAAGAAAGGGAGAGTCCCACGGTTTCCCCCCGGGGGTCCAGGAAAAGCCTAGCGCCTGGGTCCCCGGGGACTCCAGGGCGGGAGAGACGCTCCCCTACGCAGGGCAGAAAGGCGAGCATGCTGGAGGTGCCTCGGGCAGAGGAAGAGCTGGCCGCAGGAGACCCGGGCCCCAGCCCCAAGGCCAGCGATCCCGACACAGAGCTGGCGCTGGATGAAGGCAAGCAGGAGGCACTGGCCAAGCCCAGGAAAGCCAAAGACCTGCTGAAAGGTGAGCAATGGGGCGGGAGGGGGTGGCTTCATCGAACAGGGCGCCATGGAGCCACGGAAAGCATGTGCTGCTAACATCCCTCCTCGGGATTCACAGATTACCTTGGGAAAGGGACCCTTATCTCACAGCCTTTGCAGTTCCGAAGGCCTAGTTCTTGTTTTGGTTCTGCCACTCCACAGAATGGAGATAACCACCACATCTGCAATGGCGTGAGGCTTAAACGGGCTGGAACAGATGAAGTGCCTGGCACGGGGCCTGGCTTCGGTAGCGTTCCAGCTCGGTCACTTCACCATTCATTCCCCCTTTACAGAGCTGTCACATGATTACAGAGAGGGGGACAGGATGCAAATGCAGGCTGCTAGAGTTAGGGACCTGAATGCAAACTGAAGTTCCTGTCCCAACTGCTGTCTGTGTCCTCAGCTGGGCCCCCCCGCCTGGGGTCAGGGTGCAGTAGGGGCTTCATTCTAGCTGAGATGCGTGTTTTGGGGGTCGGGATGGAAGCCCGGGATATGGGCAGCAGGCAGCTGGGGGCTGTGAGTAGTGGGTCTGTGTGGAGACTTGAATCCTGTTTTCTCCCAGCCTTTTCCACCAAGGCCATCCAGGAAAGCAAGGATATGGCCAGAGAGGGCACAAGCTGGAGGGGGCAGTGTTCCACTCCTGACTGGGCCCTGCCCTCAGCCCCACAGGTTATCCGGAAGATTCGAGTGGAGCAGTTTCCTGATGCCTCCGGTAGCCTGAAGCTCTGGTGCCAGTTTTTCAACATTCTTAGCGACTCAGTCTTGACATGGGCCAAGGATCAGCACCCAGTGGGCGAGGTGGGCAGGAGGTAAGCCGGCGACACCACCGCCACCTGGCCTGGCTCCCTGATTGCAGTAATACCGTTGGGCACCATCCTAGCGCTTTGAGCCTGTCACCTCATTAATTCTCACAATCAGCCTCTGCGGGAGGTGCTGTTCCCATAGTAGAGATGAGAAAACCGAGGCTCATCGTTTTTAAGCCACTTGTCCAAAGCCACACAGCTAGTAAGTGTCAGGACTGCAAACCAGACCTTCGGGCTTCAGGACCAGCTCTTGGCCCTGGAATCACGCTGTCTCCCCAGAGCTCTTGGAGCTGGGGTTCACTGCAGCCTCTGAGAGTGGGGTCCAAGGACGCTTAGGACCACAGTCTGCCCCATGCCATGGTGATGGCCCTCACAAGAAGGGTCTCCGCTCTGCAGTGCAGGAGATGAGGGGCCGGCGGCCTTGGCCATCGTGCAGGCCTCCCCCGTAGACTGCGGCGTGTATCGGTGCACCATCCACAATGAGCATGGCTCGGCCTCCACCGACTTCTGCCTCAGCCCTGAGGGTGAGTGTGCCCCGCTGCCCGGGGTCTCAGCCTGGCCTGGCTCCTGGGGGGTGGGCAGCTGCCATTTTTAAGAGAAGGCGCTCTCTCTGCGAACAGCTGCCTGAAGGCACTGCTTTCTTCTTTTTCTCTATTTAGTGTTGTCAGGATTCATCTCCAGAGAAGAAGGTGAAGGTATGGTGCCCCCCTGGGGAAGGCGGGGTGGTCCTACCCCTGCCATCTGTAGGGAGGACCCATTTAAGGGCTTGGAATCTGGTCCCAATCCACATACTGCTCCCCTTTGCCTCCTAGTTTAGGATGTGGCTTGGGGAGGTGATGGAGGAGGACTGCTGTATCAGAAGATTGTGGGGGAAGAAGCGGCCAAGGGCCACTGCACAGGAGTCAGTTCACCCTGTGCCCTTTGCCCATGTCCGTCTTTGATCCAGGGCAGGACCGGCCACAGGGGCATGTCTTACCCTGCCAGCTCCTACCCAGGTTTCTCACAGTGCTCTGTGGAGCCCAGCATTGGATTCACACAGGAAACCTGTTAGAAATGCAGTTTCCTCGTCCCCGCTGCACTGCAGGCCTCTTTAATGCCATAGGAGGGACCTAGGAACACTGCATTTTCAGCAGGCTCCCTGGTGATCATGAAATACCTGCCGAGTTTGATATGCATTTGAAGGGCTTTAATAGGGATGGATATGTACTGCTCTTGCAAGAGACAGGCTGACTTGGGACTGTGAAGGCAGCCAGTGATGATGGAAAGATGTTTAGAGCTGTAGTTGCTAACACATGCGTTAATTCCTTCATTCATTCGCTCACTCATTCCTTCAACTAGTGACCTTTTTTTTTTTTTTATTTGAGATGGAGTCTCACTCTGTTGCTCAGACTGGAGTGCAGTGGCATGATCTTGGCTCACTGCAACCTCCACCTCCTGGGTTCCAGCAATTTTCATGCCTCAGCTTCCCCAGTAGCTGCAATTATAGGCATGTATCACCACACCCAGCTCATTTTTGTGTTTTTAGTAGAGACTGGTTTTACCATGTTGGCCAGGCTGGTCTCAAACTCCTGACCTCAAGGGATCCACCTGCCTTGGCATCCCAAAGTGCTAACTAGTGACTTTTGTTTAGTAATCAAATAAAATTTAATTGATATCAAATATAACCTCAACCTCAAACTAAGTAATAATTCTTTAATATCATCAGACATGCAGTCAGATTTCCCTAATTATCGCATATGCGTTGTTTTATTTGAATCAGGAACCACTCGTTGCTTTTGGCCGATGCAGCTCAAAGTCTCTCTTAATGTTGAACAGTTCCTCCTACTTTATTTGTTTCCTCCTTGGCTGTTTATTTGTTGAAATCACTGTTGTAGAATTTCTAACAGTCTGGATTTTGTTGATTATGTCCCCATTGAACATGCTCCCCCATGCACATGCTTCTTCTAAATTGGTAATCAGATTCCAAGGTTTAGTCACATACAGGTGTGATTTTTTTTTTTTTTTTTTTGCAAGAATAATTCACAGGTGCTGCATACACCTTTTGCATCCCACCTGGAGGCACATAATGTCAAATTGTTTCATGCCTGTCCCTTTTAGTAATGTTAAGGTTGGTTATTGGGTTCATTCGGGTGGTATCCGTGTGATCCATCCCCTTTTAAAATTAAAAACAATCTGATACAAACCCTATTGTTATCTGGGGGTTTTCGCACCCACTGCTTATTGCCTAAATCTATTATTTCATTAGGAGTTGTAACATGGAGATAGTTTAATTTGATCTTTTCTTCTTCATTCATTAGCTGAGTTTTTTCTGTAAAAAAAGGGATGATCATTTGGTTATCCCAATAAATAAGTTCCAACAGGAAATGAAGGATAAATATTTGCTCTTTTCACTCTAGTTACCTGAATTTAGAATAATGAGTTGGTGCCCTACCATTTTCCATAGGTGACCAGTGAGGTTTATTTTTTGAGTGGGGGATTGGATTTGTTGTTGTTGCCACTATGAATGCATGGATTTTTAACATACTTGATATACTCAATACATTGCAGAAGGGAGCCCCTTCAGGTTGGCCCGTGTCCTTCTGCCAAGTCTCCAGTCGCTTTTGCTAGCTCTCTTGCTTTCTGGTCTCTGGTGATGTTTCAGGTCCTTGCTGGACACTTTCTGCCTAGACCTGGAATCAACCATTTCTGTAGAAAGTTCTGGTTCCCTTTAATGGGAAGCTATATTTAGCGGTCACAATTTGAGCACCAGGGGTGCTCACTGCTGCTGGATTTGTCCTGCAAACTTTTTGCTTCAGTCAAGCGTGTTGGTTGAAATAGAGTCATGTATTTATCTGATCAAAACAACGAATTCCAAAGAAAAGTAATTCTGGTATTCTGTATTGATTGCTATTGCCATAGAAAACCCCTGCCTTCCATACACGTGTCCTAAGTTCTGTCCGAACACAGCGCTCAGGACATATTTGTGGACGGCAGGGGTTATGTGATGGATACAACACAGGTACTGCTAGATGGCAGGGGTCAAATCAAATAGAGTTTCTGCCCAAGGAGCTCACAGTCTGGTAGGGACTCAGTGTGTCCAAAGAGCAGGCTTGGACGGCAAGTGAGCAGGGTGGGGGGCTTTTCTGGCCTTTTCCTTCCCTGAGAGCCCCACCTTGGTCAGGCCGGAGCTCCTGGTCTCCCACATTTCTCCTTTTCCCCTTCAGTTGGAGAAGAGATTGAGATGACCCCTATGGTATTTGCCAAGGGTCTGGCTGACTCTGGCTGCTGGGGGGACAAGCTCTTTGGGCGACTGGTAAGCGAGGAGCTCCGAGGGGGTGGATATGGGTGTGGCCTTCGGAAGGCCTCCCAAGCCAAGGTCATCTACGGGCTGGAACCCATCTTCGAGTCGGGCCGCACGTGCATCATCAAGGTGTCCAGCCTGCTTGTGTTTGGGCCCAGCAGTGAGACTTCTCTCGTGGGCAGAAACTACGATGTCACCATCCAGGTACTATGTCCCATCCCTTCACTCTCACCCCCTCCCCTTTCCCAGCCCGGGTCCTGTTGAGATGTCCAAAATTGAGGCAGAAAGCATCTCAATCTCAACCTTATGAGGCTCCTAGGATGACTTTGTGGAAAGCCTGACATGCAGCCCAGAATTCAGATACTTGGCCTCAGAGAGCTTGAGAGCTTCAAAATGACTTGGGCCATAGTTTTCAAACTATATATGTGCAGCAGATACCTTCCCCCTGCCCATTCATAACCTCTCATGGAAGTCTTCCTATATGTGAGATGAAAGGGGGGTGCTGTGGGTGGGGGTAGACAGTCTTCGTGGCTCTCCCCAGAGTGGTCTATCGCCTACCATTAGGATTCCAGAAAATAGTTCGGAAATCACTTTGAAAACCTCAGTTTGAAAAGAGGTCCAAAGCCACTTTGTTACACAAAAGAGGAAAATGAGGTGCAGAGTAGGGAGCAGGGAAGAGTGAGACCTTCTTCACGAGGGCTGGAGTCCTCCTCTCAGTCCCCTCACAGGTGGCCCACTCACTTAGAGGCAGACACAGTGGAGGATCGGGGAATTTCTTTGCTGACCAGATGTGGTTCCCTCATCCACAGGGTTGCAAGATCCAGAACATGAGTCGGGAGTACTGCAAAATCTTCGCAGCAGAAGCCCGGGCCGCGCCTGGCTTTGGGGAGGTGCCTGAGTAAGTACGAGCGAGCAGGACGTGCGCGTGCAGCGCTGTTGCCTTGGGCTTCTGCGAAGATAGTGATTTCAGAGCCTCCCAGGGGCGTGCTGGGTTATGCCCAAGTGCAAATAGCCTCACAGTTAGCCCCGTGCTCAGCCCAGTGGTCTCACAAAATCTAGAAATAAAGACCTTGTTTACTCCCCGCTTGAGAAAAGCCTCTGCTCTGCACTCAGCTCCTCCCGCCCACCCCCATTCCTCATTCTTTAGTGCAGATGCTGCTGATGGCAGAGTTTGGGCCTAGCAGTTTCTGGGGCTCCGTGAAGGCGATGGGGTGGGCTGAGCTAGGCAGATGGGTCAGGACCCCTCTGCAGTAGGCGGGCAGGGTCAGTGTGGACTTTCATGGGAGTCAGCTATAAATGGCAATTGTTTCCATTTTGAAACTTGAACTCACCTTTGTGTACCTGGGGTCCGACTGGCAGAGAGCCACGATCTAGTTGAATCCTTTCTAAAGGTGCTCCTTCTGTTTGACACATACCTCTCCTTCCGCCCCAGTCCCTCAGCCAAGCCACAGAGTCTGCCTATGGTCATAGCAGGGTTTGGTTCTAATCCCGCTGACCAAGAGAATGGACAGGACTCTGAAGCCAAAAATATCCATTTCCTTTCCTGAACTCAGGGTGGAGCTGCTTTCCTTTTGTCCTTTGGGCTCAGAGCTGAGAATTCCATTCTTGGAAGGGCCCTTCTTTTAGGTCCAAGAATACAGAATTGGGTTGGAGGGAGGAGCTCCCTGGGCCATACTTGCAGCTTACTGCGGGGTGAAACTGTGTTTAGGATCATCCCACTGTATCTCATCTACCGGCCTGCAAACAATATCCCATATGCTACCCTGGAGGAAGACCTGGGCAAGCCCCTGGAGCCTTACTGTTCCCGGGAATGGGGCGGCGCTGGGGCCCCGACAGTATCTAGCAGCTCTGAGGCCGTGCAGAAATGTCAGACCTTCCAGCACTGGCTGTATCAGTGGACAAACGGCAGCTTCCTTGTCACAGATTTGGCAGGTATGAGGGTGTGAGGGTGTGTGGGTGCGCACGTGCATGGTTATGAAAGCATGCAGAAGAGGGAGAGCTGTAGTGCTTGACTGATTGTTGATCGTTTACAAAGCACCTTTGTCTTTACTCTTTTTTGCTTTTGACAATAATCCTGTAAAGTAGATCGGACAGGGACCATGTTGCACGCAACCCTAATACACACCAGGGCCTCATGTAGCCCAGTCTGTCACTGCAGTTGCATTTAAAGGAGCACAGTCCAGGCTCAATTAAAATTAAACAGGAATTTATTTCAAAGACCATTATACGGGCTCTGATTCAAAACCCACAACCACCCTTTTCAAAACCTCGCTTCTTCCCTTCCCTGTAGCTTTGCTCTAGACTTTCTCACTCTCTGAACTTGCCAGACTCCCTCTTCCATTTTAGCACAGTAGCTCTACTGTCTCTCTTCCTCCTCCATCTTTGTTAGCTTTTCGTTATGTAAAGCATTTAGTCTGGCTTCTTTTTAACTTATTTCTGTGCCTCCCCCCATTACCCAGAAACTCCCCAACAAAGGAAGGCCAGCAAGTGTGAACCCTCCTTCCTTCTTCTACCAGTTCTTTCCAGGCCTGTTCCCTTTAAGCAGAACTGGACAGGGGAGGGAACGGAAAAAATGCTCAGGGCAAGGAGAGGTTGCTGGGAATATCACACATTATTAAATCTCATCTCTGCCGTAAATAAGTGAGAAAACCAAGGGCCAGAGATAAAAAAACTGACTCAAATGTGTGTTTCACTGGGTTAAATTTATATACAACTCCAGATGTTGGGAGGAGGGAGGGCTAGGTAACATTAAGCCATTATCAGTCAACCTATTTGTTGAATTACAAATTCATGCTTCCATCCTTTTTCCATCCAACCACTACTAAATATTGAAAAAATAAAAAGTTGAATTAGGAATAGTCATTGCCCTCAAGAAGCTGTGATGAGTAGATCAGTTTCTACTATAAGATGATAACATGGTATACTAGAAAGGCTTTGGAGTCGGCTAGGTGTGGTGGCTCACACCTGTAATTCCAGCACTTTGGGAGGCCGAAGTGGGTGGATCACTTGAGGCCAGGAGTTTGAGACCAGCCTGGCTAACACAGCAAAACCCCAGCCCTACTAAAAATACAAAATTAGCTGGGCGTGGTGGTACATGTCTGTAATCCCAGCTACTTGGGAGGCTGAAGCTTGAGAATTGCTTGAACCCAGGAGACAGAGGTTGCAGTGAGCCAAGATTGCACCACTGCACTCCAGCCTGGGTGACAGAGTGAGACTCCGTCTCAAAAAAATAATAAAGAAAAAAATAAATTTGATTTAAGTCTAAGCTCCATTCTCTTCTAGCTGAGTCTGTTTTACAGAGAAGGAAACTGAAGCTCACACTGGTGAGGTCATTTAATCTCTCTGAGCTTCAATTTTCATTCCCTCTCTAGGAAAATAGTGTCTTTCCTACCTAGTGCTCAGATTTTTTTATGATGATTAAATGAGACCATATTTGTGAAAGCCTTCTGCAAACTAAAATTCTGTGCCAATGTGAGAGATCATCATTATTACACAAAATGGAATGCTATGAATGCCAAAAGAGAAATGAGAAAGAAATTCATATTTATGACTTTAATATTTATCACATAACTCCTAGGTTATGACACTAAGTTAGACTCCTACACAGATGATGGTCTTCTCAATACCCTTGTGAGATAGGCATTCCTCCCCTCACCTTTGCACTTGAAGATTAGAGATGTGAAGTGACTTGTCAAGTTCCCACAGCTCGGATGTAGTAGACGTGAAATGTAAATCCAGGCTGGTCTGACTCCAAAGATCACATTTGTTGCTGTCTATCCTATGATGGTACTCAGCCCTGTTCGTGAAAGGCAAGTTCCTAGCAAAATGCTCTGGACAAATTGAAAATGGGCAAAGAGCGTCCTAAACCCAATGTGTGAATGCTAAGATACCTGGATGTCCTGACCACAGTGAAAACATTTTTTCTCTGTCACCATCTTGCCTGGCTCTGCCCTTCCAAGGCTGTCTTAACCTGGAAGACCATCCTGGCTTCTTGCTTGCTGGCTGCCTTTGTAAGCAGTGTGGAAGCAAGTCTTCTGTACTGTTGCATTTCTGCTGGTCTACCCCTGATTTATCCTCTCGTTCCCATCCCTCTCTCTTGTCTGGACAGACTACTAATCTGTTCAGAGGAAGAGGTTTTAGTTCAAAGCCAGAGGCCAGTCCAGGCTGTGACCTGGTCTGATCCAGCGGAAGCAAGATTGCATAGCTGGAAGAGTTTTGGCTCTAGGAATCCAAAAAGCTGAACCCTGACTTTAAATCAAATGACCACTGCACATAGCCAGTGCTCAATTACTGAATGAGTGACTATGACTTTGCTCAAGTCGTTTAACACTGAGCCTATCCTCCTCACTTGTAAAAATGCGAATATTATTCTTAGTAATAATCCAGATACCTGCACACTGTCTGCGAGACAGGCTGGTGGTCATGACCCGTGAGAAGTTGCTTGAAGACACGCCTGCACTGACACCCAGGAAGCTGATGCCAGCCTGGGCTGGTTCTAAGCCCCCATGTCTCCAGCAGGAAGAGATGTGGTTCTAAACCCCCATACCTCTTCCTCCTGGAGATATGGGGGCTTCGAACCAGCCAAGGCTGGCATTAACTCCCAACTTTCTCCCTTTTCAGGGGTTGACTGGAAAATGACTGATGTGCAGATTGCTACCAAACTTCGAGGGTGAGTGTTTCCTGGGGACAGATTGCTCTCTGGGGGGTCTTCTCAGGGTGTAAAATGTCCTAAGCCCTTCTGGTTCTCCATCCCTAAGGTGCTGGGCCTGGGGCCAAGTGGTCCCAGTCACACCCATGGCCATGTGGTAACATCCTAGGGGCTACTGTCTCCACCCCTTATCTCCGGTCTGGTGTGGCAGCTATTACTGATGCCACACATGGGGTCCCCTGCAATCTGGGGCTCTCACATACTCCTCCCCTCTTGCTTGAGGATGGTTGCCAAGGTGCCGACAAGCAAGGGCCCTGTGATCAGAGTGCGGATCTCAAGTCTGCTTCTGTTTATGTGAAGAAGCCAAGCCATTCTTACACCAGTTAAAGTCCTACATGATGGATTCCATGTGTCGTGGTGTAATGAGACCACAGTTTTAAAACTGAGGCTTTGGGCCAGGAATGGTGACTCATGCCTATAATCCTAGCACTGTGGGAGGCTACGGAGGGAGGATTTCTTGAGCCCGGGAGTTTGAGGTTTGAGACCAGCTTGGGCCATGTAGAGAGTCTCTACTAAAAGAAAAAGGAAAAATTGAGGTTTTAGCTGCTGCCACGTGAGGTAGCACCCAAGGGAGACTCTCCATCACCCTCAGATAGGGTAGGATGTACTTTGGGCACAGCATCCTAATGATGGCAGCCCGAGAGTCAGCCCCCCAAGGAGCTGTGTCTCTGGGTGGGACCCCCACTCAGCTCTTCCTGTCTGGCTGCAGATACCAGGGCCTCAAAGAAAGCTGCTTCCCCGCCCTGCTGAACCGGTTCGCCTCCTCCCACCAGTGCAACGCCTACTGTGAGCTGCTGGGGCTAACACCCCTCAAGGGCCCTGAGGCAGCCCACCCCCAAGCCAAAGCCAAAGGCTCTAAGAGTCCGTCTGCTGGCAGGAAAGGCTCCCAGCTGAGTCCTCAGCCCCAGAAGAAAGGCCTCCCTAGTCCTCAGGGCACCCGGAAGAGTGCTCCAAGCGCCAAGGCCACCCCTCAAGCCTCAGAGGCAATCACCGTGCAGTTGTTGGGACAGCCTCCCACTCAAGAAGAGGGCTCCAAGGCCCAGGGCATGCGGTAGCCTCAACAGGAGGCTGGGGGCCTCCACCCAGCAGCAGACCAACCAGGAAGCAGCTTGAACCGGATGGAGACTTTCCAAATACGGAACTAACTGGAGAAGGCGTGTGGAGGAGGCACCACGTGGGGACCTCTCTGAGCAGCCTCTCGTGGATCAGCTCCTCATCAGATGGCTTTGGTGTGTGGCACATAGCCCACTGGCCTCTTCTGGTGCCACTGTCACCCAGGGTTCCCAGGCCTCAAGCAGGCCCCACCTCCAAGTGCCTGGCGGCCTAGGCCCTCCTTGAAGTTTACACTTTGCCACTGCTGGAGGCTCCCCTGAGTCCTCTGCATGAGTTCTGCACCCCAAGCCCTTGCCCCAGCCCAATCCAGCAGCAGATGTTATAATCTGAGTGTGAGGACATGCAGGCCAGCATTTACCCCCCTGCCTTTGCCTGGCCCTGATCTCGCCCCATCCTCAGGGCTCCAGACTTCCTCTGCCGGTCTGGCCTGGTGACTCTCAGGGTATCTCCTCCTTCCAACTACTTTGGCTCATGGATCGCAGCTTATCCTGCAACTAACATGTCCTTGAGCCCAGATGGGGCTCAGGGCCCTTCCACAGCCTGTCATGTCCTTGTGCAGTGGCCTTTGATGATGTGTGTTCATGCTCTTCCAGCTCCTTCACTCACTCACCTGCTTCCCATGCTCCTTTGCACCCCCAGCCACATCCCTGGCCTGGGGCCCAGCTGCAGCCTGCTACCTGCCCTTCACGACTCTGCACGTGGCCCTTTGCTTGAGAGCTCCCTACCCCCTGCCCACCAATACCCAGGTGAGGAACAGACCCTCTGGCCTTTTGCTCCACTTCAGTACTGTCTTCCCCAACTCCTCCGGGGCTCTTTGCTCACGAGGTGAGAGCTGGTGTGAGGCTGTGTCAGCAGCTGTAGCCAGAGACAGGTGTTGACTCTGAGAGACCTTGTACTCCATACTGAAAGGAGGTGGAGTCACAGTTAATTTCACATCCCCTCTCATCCAGGAATGGAGGGCTAGGTCTCTTCCCCATGGAATTACCCCTGGGTGTTCTAGGAGGGATGCAATCTATCTGTGCACTTGGATGGAGGAGTGTCTCTGTGCCTGGGAATTAGGGCCCCTGCCCCAACCATAGTTCTTGATCCTGGGGCCCCAACTCTGGGCCCTCATGTATGGGCTCCCAAGGACCCAGTGGCCTGGGTCCTTCCAGAACATCCCTCCTGGAGGCCTGGGGCGGGGTAGATCTGCAGCTAGCCCGCTCCCCTTGGAATGCAATAAAGGCAGCATTGTGTGTCCTGCTTGCCCTCAACTGGTGTGGTTGGAGGTCTGAGGAGTCAGGGTCCCCCTCTCCCAGGCAGGCTCTCTGAGGGCATCCTGTAGTCCCCAGGCCCACTAGAAAAATGAATCTGTATTTTGGTTCCTGGACTGAAGTTCAGTTGTAGCTTTCTGTGGCCACAGAAAGACATTCTGTGCCTGCAAAACTGGGCTGCTGGCTTGTGCCCCTTAGCAGGGTGTCTGGGCACTTATGCCTTTGGAATTGCCCTTCATTCAGAAGAGGAACACAAAGAAAGCCACCCAGGAAGGAAGCGCAGAGCTGGGGGCTCTGGAAACTCCGTGTCTCTGGCTGCAGCAAGACCAGCTGAGGAGCCCACCAGTACCTGCCTCTCAGCTGCTTGCTGACCATTTTCTCCCTCTCACGCTGCAGAGAAGCTCTTCATTCCCACCCCCACCCAGAACCTCCCCTTGCCTGACATTTCCCCTCCATGGTGACATCTCTGACTTCTCTACCTCCTCTATGCTCAGGTGACTCCACATCTTCCTTCTGCCCCAGTGTGTCCCTACCTCTCCCAGCCTGCATATTCAGATTACTTTGGTGAACTGAGAGCTGGAGTACTGCTCATTCATTTAGTCATTCACCCACTTATTCAGCAGACATATACTGAGCACTGCTTTATGCCAGACCCTGGCTGGCAGCTGCTGGGAGGCAAAGATGTATGAGGCCATTTCAGGAGAGACTACCTGTTAGGATTCTTGAGTTTTGACCAACTGAAATGAACTTGGACCAACATAAGCAAGGAGAAAGGGTTCATGGGAAGGATGCTGGGATAGCTCACAGAGCCAAAAGAGTAGCTGAACAGTTGGCCTTGGGAAGGGTGGGAGCCGGGGCAGCTCCAAGGCTTGCCTCCCAGAGCTGCTATGGTTGGCAGATCAACACCAACTTGCCATCCGACCTCATGGATCTCCTTCCACTCAAGATTCAAATTCCAGGTGAGATAATCTGGCCTGGAGCTCAGGGCTTCATAGAGTAGGAGGGAGGCAGTTTTCCAAAGGTCTTCTGACTCTTGCCGGAAGGATGGTGGAGTCGGAAGGGTGGACATGGAGGAAATGGTGGGTGCAGAAGGGTAGGCAGACCCTGAAGATGCTGCTAACACAAGGGCCATCCTTCCCGTCTTGTGTATTACAACTCTCCCACATAAAACTACAGCCGCATTTCTCTCTGCTTAGGGAATTCAGGATCATAGCTAACTTAATTCCAGGGGTAAGACAGGGCTACTATTCGCCAAAGTCCAGTGTCACTAGGGATAATCTCCCTCTTTCAGTTTTATCACAAGTCCATTTTGAAATTCTACAACCTGTAGATTAACTGGTAAAATTAACCATATTCAACCAAAATCATATAACCCAGCAAGAAAGGAAGAATGGGCAACGTCTGCAGTCCATTTCTAGAACTGGTCATGAGAACTCATGTTTGTGTATGATTATGCACTTTTGGCTTGACGGAGTGACCCAAACCTTCAGTTCTGAAGCTCCTTCGTGGTCCTACCTGTGGGACAGGCATTTGCTATTGGACACGGCAGTCCAAGGACAAACTCTAGGAATCTCCCCCATGTCCATCTCTACTGCCCCTTTTACGTAGCAGCAATCATATTTTCCCTTGATAAGGTTCATCATTCTAGACGCTTCCATGACCTCTTTATAATAAGCCTGAAATGGCCCGGCGGCTGCCTCAGCTTTCAATTCAGTTGAATTGTTACTGTGTCTTTGAGGATGTGTTCCTGGACGGGGGACTCAACTCTCCACACCAGCCTGGTCCCAAACCTCAGGTATGAGAAAGGCATTGAGATGTAGCAGTAGCAGGCCATCTCCACACTGCGTCCTATCCCTGAAGGAGAAACCGCAAGGTACGGTTGCTGGCTCCAAGCGCATGCTGCCTCCTGCAGGCCTGACCCAGCCTCTCTCGGGGTGTTGTTTCTGGTGCATAGCTGAGTTTTCAGTAAACCATTTAACCACACTCTCAAGCCAGCTGCTGCTGGTCTGTGGGTTCCTGAGAGGATGAGTGAATGCCCACACATCAACCCATAACACTTCTTTTTGTTGGAAAGTGAATTCTCTGGTTGGGTGCAGTGTGTGAGAAGGCCACATGATGTTTATGGCATTTGATAATCCATGGATATTGATGGCCGGAGAGGCGTGATGGGTAAGAAAAGCAAATCCAGATCCAGAACAAGGGCCCAAAGGGGCCAAGACAAATTACTGCCCCTCTCAGAGCTGCGGGTGTAGACGGGGAAGCACTGTGGCGATCGAGTGGGCAACCCACAAGTGACCCGCTGGTGCCTTCACAGCCCTAGCCTGGAGCAACAGAGTCCACCTGATAAGGGAGTGCACTGGCCCAGCCAGACTTTATGGCCAGGTGGGTCAGATAACACCACGAGGGGCAGCATGGCCACCAAGTGTGCAAGGGCCAAGCGTTTATGCTCCCCCAGAGCCCAGTGGTGAGCGAGAGGGGCGTTTTGCACAAGGATAATGGTTACTTGTCAGCAAGAGCATCACTTGGCTCCAAATCCTGGGTTCCCCTATCGTATTTTCTTGTCAGGACTTATTACAGGCTACATATGGCTCCCCAGTATGCCACAGACAGACGGATACCTCGTGCACCGTTGACAAGGTCACGTGGCCTGATGGCAGAGTGGGCTGCACAAAAGACTCTCCCAGCTGGGACGCCTTCGTCTGCTCTAAGCCCACCCCAAAGCTGGCAGCCCTCTAGGTCAGTCGGTAAATGGGTTGGAACAAGATGCCTCAAAGTGGCATATATTGCCTGGAATTAGGTCTTAGTGGTGAGGGATTCCACATACAGTCATTTGTCCTACATTATGAAGGAAATGTTCTGACGTCAAACAGATCCCTCAACCCCTAGAACTTTGTAGAAGGGGCAGGCCAGGCACGGTGGCTGACACCTGTAATCCCAGCACTTTGGGAGGCCAAAGTAGGTGGGTGACAAGGTCAGGGGTTTGAGACCAGCCTGGCCAACTTAGTGAAACCCCATCTCTACTAAAAATACAAAAATTAGCCGGGTGTGGTGACGCACGCCTGTAGTCATAGCTACTTGGGAGGCTGAGGCAGGAGAATCGCAAGAACCTGGGAGGTGGAGGTTGTGGTGAGCCAAGATCGCACCACTGCACTCCAGCCTGGGCAACAGAGCAAGACTGTCTCAAAAAATACAAAAGTAAATAATAATAATAGAAGGGGCAGATTTTCACATGATTTATCTCCCACTCTGATTCACACATGTTCGATCACGGCACCAGGCAACTGCTGATTTCCTGTTCCTTCTGTAGTCCCAGATGAATGGCTATATCCCTTTGTGGAAGGCTGCAAGGAAGCTTCACAACATGCATCTAAGTGTTAAAATAGGTTTTTCTTTCAAAAACACATTTGACTTCCTTTCCATTTAAGGTCTGGAAATCAAGTGGGAGATCTTGACTTGTCTTTGGCAGCTTGAGACAGGCTGTTGGCCCAGAAGTCTTTAGTTAAGGTCATTACTAGGCCATATCCTAGGAGCGTCTGGCCTTTTTCATCCTGGGACCCAATCCCCAGGTCTGGTTTCTGTGCCCTCTCCATTACGATGAGCACCCTACTTTGTTCCTTCTGACTATCTCTGCTGCTGAGATCAGGGAGCCCATGTTCACAGCAGCTCTTCCAACCAGCCTCCCAGGCCTAGAATGCAGAGCCTCGTGAATGTATTTCTCATGGCAAGAAGGGAGCCCATCTTCTGGGTCCCACCAGAGGGCAGTGAGGGGGGCTGACGGGCTGGGTGCATGCCAGGGACCCAATCAAGCATTTTTATCTAATGAAATCTTTGAATTCCTGCCTCTCTTGGATGTTTGGTCTTTTGATATAATTTAGGATGGGCCAACATTTGGTCCAGATTTGTATTATCCAAGCCCCCCTAAAATAATAAGAACTGTATCTGGTGATTTGAGCTTTTACATAGAATGTAGAATCTCTGCTGAGTGAACGTATCAATAAAGACAACCTGAAACAAAATTATATCTTGGTCACACAACCTTTAAAAGGTCCACTACAGCTTGGGCAACACAGGGAGACTCCCTCTACAAAATAAAAGAAAAATTAACCAGGCATGAGGGTTCATGCCTGTAGTCTCAGTTTTTTATGGGGCTGAGGTGGGAGGATTGTTTGGGCCCACGAGATTGAGGCTGCAGTGAGCTGAGATCATGCCACCGCACTCCAGCCTGGGTGACAGAGGGATACCATTTTTTGTCTTAAAAAACAACAGAAAAAGGTCCACTAATGTACCATATATTTTTTGACAATGTATTTGTCAGTTCATGCAGTTTCTTCAGAATATCACTCGCCTCTTTCCTGATCTGATTTAGCTTCTCATCCCCTGGCGTATGCTGAGTGTGGATTCTGGTTACTGGCATAACATGGTGTGGGGCAGGAGGGAAACTTTGCTTTCTTCTGCAAGAGAGAGGTACGCCTTTCCCGGCAGTGAAGGTCAGAAGGAAATATTTCTGGAGGGTTATCCTTTTTCTGTCCTTTGAATACTCCCAGATATCCTTAATCCAGCTGACAGGATGCCACCTTGTTCTGAAACTGAATGAGGTTATGAATTCAATTGGTGGTGAATCTAGCACTTTTGCAGAATCAGACTCTGGGTTTGTTTTTAAACAAGCTCAGTGGCTTCAAGCCATAAGGGACTTTCTACCCAGTAATACAAAGGTAGGAGTTTCATTCCATGCCTTGAGGTGGGAAGATTTTAATGATCATCCTCTAACTTTTGTTTATTTGTTTTTCTGTTTGGTTTTTGTTTTTGTTTTTTTGAGATGGAGTCTTGCTCTGTCACCAGGCTGGAGTGCAGTGGCATGATCTCAGCTCACTGCAACCTCTGCCTCCTGGGTTCAAGTGATTCCCCTGCCTCAGCCTCCTGAATAGCTGGGACTACAGACACCCACCACCACACCCGGCTTTTTTTTTTTTTTTTCAGTAGAGACGGGGTTTCACCATGTTGGCCAGGATGATCTTGATCTCCTGATCTCATAATCTGCCCACCTCAGCCTCCCAAAGTGCTGGGATTACAGGCGTGAGCCACCACTCCTGGCCCCTCTAGCTTTTGTGTGTGTGTGCATGTACGACAGGGTGTCGCCCAGGCTGGAGCGCACTGGGACACTCTTGGCTCACTGGAACCTCTGGTTTAAGTGATTCTCATGCCTCAGCCTCTGAGTACCTGGGACTACAGGCATGCACCACCGTGCTCTGCTAAATGTTTTTGTATTTTTAGTGGAGACAGGGCTTCGCCATGTTGGCCAGGCTGGTCTCAAACTCCTGGCCTCAAGTGATCCGCCTGCCTCAGCCTCCCAAGGTCCTGGGATTACGGTTGTGAGCCACCGCACCAGGCCCATCCTCTAGCTTTAAAAAGTATCCAGTGATGTAGAAAGGCTGCTACCTGCCCATCCCTGAATAGGAACAGGAGTTTCAATGCTCTTCACTCCATCTTACCTCCATCACCAATTCCAAAACCCCTCTTATTTTCTGGGAAAAGGAGAGAGTCCATGTCCTTTACCATCCTCCCTATGAATGTCACC